ACACGTTAGGGTACTATATCAATGACTACGCGTTCCTCACCAAATTTTTACAATGTCGACAATTACACCTGAGATCGAAAAAAACTTAATCATCCAAGTTCGTGGTTTTTAATCCAAGCTTTCGCTTCACTACCAGCAATTGTTAGTATTAATGTGAATTTTCTCCCTTAGTGTACTGGAATAGATCTTTTACATCGTGGGGAAGCGTTGCGGATTGGGATCTTTATTTCATAAATGAAATGCACAAAACACTGGCATGGGAACTCAAAGTGCTTCTCAATGGCTTAGAGGAAAATAGCCTTGCGTGGAATAAAGCGAAGGCGCTCAAAAAACAACTAAAGATCAGGTTTTTTTTCGAGTTTTTATCCAAACTAACTCTCGGCGTTGACAACTCGCGCTACGCCCCAACCTCTGTTGGTTATCCGAGTTATTCTCAGATGTGAAAGAAGAGCGTCGCGGTCTAGTTATACCCTGCAATATTTGTTGAATGACGAGCATTCCTCTGCTTGCCTGAAGTGGGTAACACGTTAAAACTGATCGTGACGTGCATATTTTGTCATGTCGAGAGCACGCAAACTGTGCCCTGCGATATCTATCGACTGACAGACATTCATCTGCTTGCCTGAAGTGGGCTGCGATCTGTATGTTATCCAATTTTGATATTCATATTTAACGTATACTTACAGTTACTTCCTTTCCCGAACTTTGTAGAAACAAAAGAAAGAAAATGCAGTGACCTTTGCGATTTGGGAGGGACATCAAGAAGAAATATTAAGGGTTACAGCCGAAAATAAGATCAATGAAAATATTAATATCCTACTTGGTTCTAATTGAATTCACCGTTTATCTTTCCTTTCTTCTTATACATTGTAATTATTAGCGTAAAATCGAAGATGTAGCAAGGAATGCTACAAGTGCAACAGCAGAAGCTATTACGCACCGAATGGTTATGAGATCCTCAAACGTCCCCGAGAAGGACGTCAAACCAGGTATGGAAGAAACATACCAAACTACTGTGAAACAGAATCTGATCAAGAATATGAGCGATTCGGGCCCGAAAAAGTACGCAACATGCCATTTTGATTCTTAGTGTGTTTTCATACTAGTTCATGTGTTAACTTAGGGACTTTGTATTTTAGAGAGTACGCATTGCCCAACCTGATTTACGATCACATCAGGATGATAAAACAGAGGTTGATAACGGAAAACTTGAGGTATGAGAAACATTGTTAGAAAATATACATCGAATCTTATAAAAATAATTCATCATATTAATGTTTTGATTTCTCTTACAGAAAAATTATGACGAGGAAACTGAATTGTTTTTCAACAATTCAAGAAATAGTTATGGAATCTATTACAAGTACGACTGACGAATTGGTAATTAAATTGTTGAGATGGCAACAGAACAACCTTAAACAATTATGTCATGGAGTTCAACATCCAGAAGAACAAAATATCAATAATCTGCTATCTGTTCCATCGATATTTTATTTCCAACAACGAAATGAGCAACCGTATCTTGATTTTCTAACAGCAAATGAAATTACTAACATCCGATCAAGCATCATCTCCGAGTTTGTGAAGGTTGTAACTCCGGATGAATTGATAGATTTCGTGAAAGAGAATAAAAAGGTTTGTAAATTTAATTTTTAAATAATGGTTGAAACGAAATCATTCTTATGTTATTTTATCATATTTCGTTAGAAATTTCAACGGGATTCTCTTGAAGAAATCGCAAGATTCATTAAATTATCTTCTGTGAAACAAAATGGAAGTTTATTGAATGAAACATTTTTCAGATTGTTGGAAGAATGTGCCACTTGGAATTCTTCGGTAGATGTGAGCAAAGTGAACGAAGGGACTTTCATTATAGACTATATTGGGCCACTATTCAATAAGACAATCCATTATTTTAACTATGTCACGATTCATTCATGGTATGATGTTATTTGTGCATTTAAATTGATTTGTGGAAAAAGGACTAATCTATGATGATCTTTTCCCTATAGGATCGATACAGTGTCAGAAACATCTAAATTACGCCGATGGTAGAGTACCCGTATATATGTTGAAAAATAAAGATGAGACCTGTGCAAGTGTTTTCGGTGAAGCAACAAGCCCCTAACGTCAGGATGAGGAGCATAAAGTTTATTGTGATATCTACCGTGGTTCTATACATGCCAAAGACTCCATAGATTTAGATATCAAACAACGAGAGATGCACCCAGATGAAACAAACAAAATTGTCATTTTTATCAATGGCCACAAAATGGAAGTCTGTGTTATGACATTGTATTATCCCGGAATATATTTACTTGTTGAGGTGGAATCATGCACCATACCAAAAACTGTTAGAGATCTGGAATCAATTATAAAGCTTCATCAAGTATTTATGAGTATTCGGGTTAGTTTTTTTTTTTGATATTTTGATACTTATAAAACGTGTTGTATTGCTAACTATAGTGTATAACTTAGGAGAATGCGATAGATTTGTTGAGTGAGAGATTCCATACCACACCTCTTCAAGCAAACTATTCAAAATGGTTACGTCCAACTGCTGATACACCGAGTGCAGAAAACTATTTGTCTGTACTTGTGAAAAAGTAAAATAGGCCGAGTTTGATCTTTATTAATTCTTAATAAGATTTTCACGCTTCATGCTTTTGGTATTTTAAACACATATTGTATATGAGTGGGCTGTGTATCAGAATAAAACTTGACAACCAAAGTTACAAGTTTTGTTTTCCTTTAATTTGATTGGTAGATTGTCATGTAATATTCAGTACTGGTCGGAACATATTTTCGAGATGATTTTTCAATAAAAATAAAATTAAGATTAAAATAAAATTTTTAATTTTACTATATTTTAATAGTAAATTTTGAAAGTGATGCATTACTTTTATGTTACTGTATACGTATATGATATAAAAAAGTTTTTATAATAAAGTCGTGCAAGCTTTTATAAATAGATATTAATTATAAAAAATATTATACTAACAAAAATACACGGAAATAGACAGAATTACCTTATATAATGTATATTTGAAAAAAATGAACTTTTTTTTCAGCATATTCAAATTCAATTTAATGAAACTTTTATATAAAGAACACAAAAGTCAGCTGTTTCATGAAGTGTATTTTTCCAATTACTGATAAAGCTATATACATAGTTTCGATTATGTTTATATACTAGAGTCATATAAATGTGTTTTAATACAACCAATTGGAAAAGTTGCTTCTATTGGAGAAATTATTTGGTAATACTGTATTAAATTCGACTAAAGCTTCGTGTCAACCACTTAATTCCAGTCAAAATTATAACCAATAATCCTTTTTAATACTAATGATAAAAGTTAAAAGCGCTAATCGATTTTTAAGGTTTTTTAAATGTGCACAAAATTAAAAAAAAAAAAAAGAAAATTAAAATGAACTAAAGAAAAGTGTCCAGAATGTGAAAGATGAAATTCCAAATCTAACTAGTTGACTTCACTTGGTTCGACTTTTATTGGTATATCCGTTGACTCTAATATTTCCGAAGTTTCGGATGTCGCCGATGATGCATTTTGATCACCACCACCACCACCACTATTTTCGGTTGCTTGAGATGACGAATTATCGGATACAGGAGATTTTGGTGCTTCCGATAGTTGTTTTTGTTCTTGTTGCTTATCGTAGTGTTTCTCTTCCTCTTTTACTATAGGAAGGGGAGAAATTGTTATTGTTTTTGTATCGGTTAGAGACCGATCAACATTATTGTTAGCGGAATTGGATGAGGATGAGAGTTGTGTCTCTTCGGATGGATTTGTGTTATTTGCTGATTGTGTAACTAAAACAGGAGTTGGAGAAGTTATTTGATTGAGATTAGTTTGAACTAATTGAATTGCAGATAATAATGTTGTTCCCTTACTATCAATATTATCCCCACTACTATTGTCGATGCCTGTATTGGTAAGAGAAAGCGAACTACTTGTAGGTGGCAAAAGATTTGATGTTGGTGATGGCGATGTTGATGTTGATATTGGTGACATTGGTGTTGATGATAAATTGGAAGAAAACATCATCCCCGCGTTAGCATTTACATTTACCGGAATCATCACATTATTAAATTGTAATCCAGGTGAAGATGACAACGACTGAACAGGAAATAAATTGGAACCATTCTGATGATGATTTGAATTCAATCCATTCATCCCATTATTTATTAATGTATTCGTTGAATTTAACATTGTGCCGTTAAGTTGGTGATTCGAATGAATATGATTAACAATTGGGATCTGAAAAGAAAAGGGTGTACTTCCATTTCCATTCGCGCCCCCATCAAACATTCTATTGTTATTAACATCACCATCATCCTGTTCTGGCGAATCAGGTTTCGATTTTCGATGCAACAACAATGAAGGTGATGATTTATCGGAAGCAGATGCAGGCGTTGTATTTACATAATAGGGAGATGATGATGATGATGCTGGTCGTATGCTTTTTAGGCTGACTCTTCGATTTCTTTTGTACACGCCATTTAAGAATTGGGCTTCTGCTTCGGGATCAATTGTCCAAAAAGCGCCTTTTCCAGGTTCACTATCGTTACGTGGGACTTTAACGAATGCTTTATTCAACGATAGATTATGACGAATAGAATTCTAATAATAATGATAAAGATGATGATGATAATATTGATAGATAAATATCAATAATTTCTAATTTCAAAAAAAAAATTCGCCCAAACATATTATTCGCTTTCTCTCAATCTAATATCAACCCTTCTGTTCGTGCCTCAAAGAAAAATTCAATTAAAAACAAACCTGCCATCCGTTTTGAGCCAACTGATAAAAGGGATAATGCGTCGTAATATAATTATATATGCCATTCAATGTCAGCTTTTTGGCAGGGGATGAATTGATCGCCTGAGCTATCAAAGATGCATAAGAAAACGGTGGCTTTGTCTCTCGTGATTGATAGTCTACCGATGCGTCAAACGATTCTCCCATGGGTCTTATTGGATTTGTAGATGATAGTGGCGGTAGCGATGGAAGCGGTACAGGTTGTATTGGTCTCGTTATGGATGCTAGAGGAGATGATGATAAAGAGTGTTGTTGCGATTCAATTTTTGGTACAATTTCGGTTATTGATGTGATATTTGAAAGTTCAGTAGTAGTATTATTAGTATTGTTAATATTAGTAGTATTAGATGTTGATGTTTCTGATTGTTCAGATATTGTCATTCCAATGGTAATGTCTTTTATTTGTTCTTTAACGTTTTTTCTGTCTTGTTGTTGTTCTTGATTATTAGTATTATCCATACTTTCGGTTTTAACAGAATTACTATTACTATTATTATTATTGCTATTATCGTTGTTACTACTACTATTATTATTTGAGATTCCGTTGTTCTCAGTCGCATTATTGACTTCGGTTTCCATTCTTGGGAGAAGAAAAGAAAATTGAACTTCTCCGATTTGAATCTTCGTCCTATTTTGATTGATATATTAATTAATCATGAAAATTTTCAATAATTGATAAAAGAATTCAATTTTTGTCATCCTTTTTTATGTATCGTCTTCTGAGAAAAATTTTTTATTGATGAGTCACCTGTTTTCAAGCGGAACAGTCGACCCTTTCTCGACAAACTGCTCATTAACAAACGCTCCATTTTTACCAAACACGGCCATTTCGAAACGCTGCGTTGTAAAATTATAAAATAAACGTGCATGCTGTCTCGAAATAGCTTTTGTCGGGCCGAGGTGAATGTCTACTTGATCTGAAGAACTGGCCTTACGTCCAAGCATAACTTGAAGCGTTCTAATATAGTAGCAAAAGCTTTCACCTTCTAATTTTGCGTACGCTTGAACTGGACCGTTGTTATTATTATCCATGGTTGTCACTTGTTGTATAGTATTTTTTATTTTTTTGTAATTCGTAAGGAAGCTGTTAGAATATATTGAAAACAGAGTAACAGCGTACTCTTCTTCAAGTCCACGTGTTACTACTCTTTCCACAATTTCAGTTACGACGTCGTTACTTATAATAATAACATTTGTCTAGACAAAAAACACCAATATGATGGAATTTTATAAAGTAAATAAAGATGTAATGACGTTTGTTTATTATGTTGCACATGGCGCTGGCCTACAAGGTTAAAAAATTAATTTTGAGCTTTCTAGCTTATAATTTTATTAGTTCAATTGTAATAGATTTTTTATTACAGATGGAACTTTTTCTTTGAAACCAGACATAAGCGTACATTTAGAAAAGGTAAAGAGTATGTATTTTAACGTAAAGCTTTGGAACTGGTATTTAGGGCGTGTGGATTTATAGAATGTAAATTTAGAGAGCTCTGTAATTTGTATTATTTGAAATCAATTATATACGTAGAATAAACATTATTAAACTGAGGTAATTAAAAAAAAACTAAATTTTTTTATTATAAAAAAAATGAAAAATAAATGTATTGTGATTATAACGGGGTTTTTTTATTAAAGATAAGGGGTTGTAACTATAGAGGTTGATTATAATTGAAAATATTTTTTAAATCTATATAACTCTGAATACTTATTATTAATATCAACTATCTTATACCAACTTGTAGTCTTATAACTTTACTTGAATCTCTTTGAATACTTACTTGAACTTGAACTGTATTTTTGGTCAGGCTTGAAGTTCAAACTGAACCTGAACCAGACTTTCAGATTTTTGAACCAAACTTTAAATTTGGTTCAAGCTCAAATCAAATCAAGACTCGAATCAAATCAAATTTTTTTCAATATTTTATAATTAGTAAATCAATTTCAACAATTTAAAAATTATTAATTCTAAAAAAGTTAAATTGCTTAACTATAATAAGTAATTCTTTTAAAATATTGCTACAATGAGAATCATCAAAAAGTCATCCAATTAAATGAAATATTTAAATAATTACAATTAAAGCTTTTTATAATTATTACTTAGAAAAGCAAAATTGAATAATTATAAAGAAAATGTAATTATAAAGTGATTTTTTTACTATGTTTATATTTAAATAAAAAAATTTAATATAGTTATAAAAACTTTGATTATACACTACCTGGACAAAAGTCTTGCACACTGAAAAATTTTAATTGTACAAAATTACACATAATAATTATATTTCAAAATTTAATATAATGTTGTTTTGGTTTTGAACAAACGCGTGTATAATTTTCGTGTTGTTTGTAAACACACATCAGGATATATAAACAAATCCGCAAACACTTCTAATCTTTATTAATTTTAAAATGCATCCCTTAACTGAAAGTCAACAAGATAAAATTATTGGTCTTTACAAAAATAAACAATCAATACCAAAAATTAGTAGTGTGCTCAAAGTTCATAGAGCAACTGTCACTCGTACTATTGCTAAGTATCTTAACGGAGACGATCTTGCTATCTGTCTTTGATCTGGACGTTCGAAATTATTGACCAATAGAAGTCAAAAAATTCTAAAGACTATTGTTAAAAATAATAATAAGAAATCAGCTGAAGTAATTAAAAACAAATTTGTTGAAAAAACTAATATTGAAGTTTTCACAAAAATTATTAGAAGAAATTTGCATGAAATACAGATTTTTTCTCGTATATTAGCTCATAAACCTCTTCTTAGTGATCAGCAAAGAGAACAGCGTCTAAGATAGTGCATTCAAAAAAGAAACTGGACTGTTCAAAAATGGAAGTCTGTCATCTGGAGTGATGAGAGTAGATTTACAATATTTGCTAATGATGGATCAGGCCACGTCTGGAGAACTCCTGGCACTAGGTTTAATATTGCAAACATGATTCTAACTGTAAAATTTGAAGATGGAGGACTAATGGTGTGGGGGTGTTTTTCAGGTAAAGGATTGGGTCCATTAGTAAAGGTGAAGGGTAAAATGAATAGACTAGATTATATACAGATACTGGAAAAACATTTACTGCCTTTGATAAATAAGGAATTCAAT